CTGACCTTACTACACAGAGGCCATTGGTGACCACAGAGTGTTTCCATTGACAGGTAGGAGCTGGAGCAGATATACCTGTGGTCATGAAGTTCAGGAATGCAATCTAGGAGTAGACAGCTCTTTCAAGAACAATCTTTGTGTTCCACACACTGTGGGGCAGAGTGGAGGGGGCAGCAGAGGATAAACTCACTTGTGTGTAGTGATGCCACTTACATAAGGTTGCCCATGGCTATGTGCGCCTGGAAGGACACCGGCCAACACAGTAACATCCAAGGGGCAGGATAGCGGGTGAATTTCACTTTCTTTGTACTTTTCCTGTATCATTTGAGTGTGTCCCAGTGAATAGTTTCCATTTTTATAACCTGAAAAGAAAGACTATATTTGGGGGGAAATAATGAGTTCTGATCATGAAAAGAAGCAAAATAGGACAGCAGCAAGAGGGAGCATGGGGAGAAGGGACTTCTACTTTTTAGACAGGAGAGAGGGATGTGCTGTGTCCTGTGGCTGCAGCAGGATGGCCCTCAGGAAGCTGGAAGTGAGGGAAACAGGATTGGCCACCTGCAAACTGAACTGCAAACCAATATACAGAGCAAAGGGTCAGAAACACCTGCACAGCTGAAGGAGGCTGGTTAAATAACCCCGGAATGCTAGGTAGAAAGACTGAGGAAGACTCACAGGTCTATTGTTAAGTAAAAAGGGTAAGAAGGGTGAAAAAAGGAACTTTCCGAGCAGAGTGTAAAGTAGAACATGTACCTATTTGTGTGGGGGATAGGGCTGGGGGAATGTTGTTTTGTTTTGTTTTGTTTTTAATGCACAAACAGGCTTGTAGGCATAGAAAATTTCTGGGAGGAAACCTAAGATGCTCCAACACAGTAGGGGGTGAGCTAAGATTTTTATTTACTATGTACTTATGCTATTTGTTTTCTATTAGAAAAATGTGACAATGCACACACACACACACACACACACACACACACACACAGTGGATTAGGTTTGCCTTGCACATAGGCATGAAGCCTAGGGGTAAGTGGGAGCTGAAACCTTCCTGGCTGGGGCTCTTTGTCCTAAATCATCTGCCCAGAGAGGCAGCTTTTTTATTTTTTAATATCTCAAAGGCTGGAGTTTGTGTAGCTCTCAGGTCTTCCCAAGCAACTGAGAATGAATGACATGGCCCAAGATGGAATGTGGCTATTAGCCATGGAATGGGGAGTGGTGGCTTCGAGAAACTAAGAGAAACTTCAAATTTTTTTAAAAGTTCTTAAACGTTACGCCAGGTGTCAGGGTTTACTGCTTTCAAAGGCTGCAATCCTGGAACCAGCCCCCAGCTCTCCCTGGAGCAAGAACAGATCAAAGTAAACCCAGGCCGCTGTTAATGGGCTTGAGCACTTTCTGATGCTTTGCTTGTGAAGGCAGAATTCTGTTGCTCAGTCAGTGCCTCAGCTAATTGGCCTCCATCAACTGGAGGGAGTGTCTGATTAGAAGCCACAGCTGCTTTGCTCATTATTTCTATTTAATAACATCTGGCATCACTGGGTGATGGTGCCCGCTCAGGACCCAGGTGTGACCTACACAGCCAATAAAAGTACAATGGCTTTGCAGCCCCCTCCCCTAAAGGAATCGTCTTATGTAAGTCCTGCCCCGTGGAACACATTTTGAACTGGCTCATCCTTGCTAGTTCCCTTGCGGCAAATCCCAAATGCACTGCGCTCAGTGAATTCATCTAAGGAGTCTGCTTTTACACTAAATAGTCTCACACTGGACCTGTATTTCCCCTCCGCCCCCCATCCCCAGATAGTGTTCTAGTTATAAGTACTTTGGCGCCCTGGTTTGGGATCTAGAGTTGCTCAAGAGAAGGGATCGATTATAGTGTGTGGACAAACCAGACTTTTTATCCTAAAGCCTGAGGGCGAGAGGCCCCTTGGGAGACAGTTTTATCTTCCTGGTGGTATCCAACCTTCCCATGAAATCTTCCACTCTGCCCATGGGAGAAGCCATTTGTGCATCTATCAGCAAATTCATTCCTGCATTCCTGCTTGCCTTTTATATAAATCTGTTATTTGCAATTTCCTTTGAAGCAGTTTTTTACATCTTAGTTTCCTCAGTGAATGAGTTAAAACAAAATCTTTGACTCATTTTCATTTTGTATTTGCATGATCATGACTTAATTTTTTCCTCTCTTGTCCTTTAACATACCTCATCCCTTTTTGTCCCTGACTGCAAAGGCAAAGTTTTAAACCTGCACAAAAAGTGTTAGTTCACAAGAATGTCACAGGATAGAACATGAAGCTACCCCACACACCAGGGAAAGGGGAGCTGTAAGCCATGAAATTAAGACAACTGTCAATCCTCTGCCAGCTCCCTCCCTTTCCCACTCAGGTGCCATCTTGAGGAGGAAGGCAGGACCCTCTGACATTACTGCTGGAGGCTGCCTCTGGGGCCTGCCCAGGGCCCGCTTCGTGCCGAGTTGAGGCCATCTGGGGGTTACTTTCAGGTCAATCCCTAGTCACACTTCCTCTGCACACCAGGCACATCTGCTTCCTCTTTCTGCCGAAGACAACAGAAGTTGAATGAGAGATGATTTCCCACAGTGTCGCAACATCCAGGAACATGAGGGCAAGTGATGGGTGTTAAGGCAGGGACAGTCCCTAGGGTGTCCTGGGAGTAGCCTTTGCTTATAAAACAGCTTGGGTTGAACACATGCTGGACACCGCGTTTCATGTTCATCCTCACAACAACCCTGAAGTGGAGAACTTCCTCATCTGAAACAGGATGTTGCTAGGCAGCGGTCAACAGGCGCAGTCAGGGGTAGAGCTGGGTGCTTGAGAGACAAGCCATCTGGCCCTGAGCGTCCTGCTGCCTGAACCAGGATCCCACATGTGCTCTACTCACCCAGCCTCCAGACATTCCCATCCGACAACTGAAGGGACCTGCCAAGCCCGCAGTGGCAAGGAGACAGGCTTTCTCTCAGCCTCCAGGCCATGCTCTCTGCTGCTTCAGTTGACTTTCCTAACAGGCATGGTCCATCCGTGGCACTCAGACCCCTTAATGGCTCCTTTTCACCAGCCCTACTCCCTCTACTCCATCCTCCTCCAGGGCACAGCTTCTCCCTGTTCTCTCCTCCCTCCACACCCGCTCCTCCCACTTTGCTTATCTAGCACCTGATAGTTCTTTGAGCGTTTGCTACAGGATCACTAACACCAGGAAGCCCACCCCTCCTACACCTAGTCCTTTACTCCCTCACACAGCACACCATGACCTACTTGGGGGGCATGATTCCTTCTTGATACAAATCCCCTGACCCAGTGCGCTTCAACACACCTGAATCACTAGGGGAATTTGTAAAGATGCAGATTCTGGGATGGGGCCTAAAACATTACCCTTCCCACAAATCCCCAGGTGATGCCAATGGTGTTTGCAGATCAGGCTAGGAGGGGCAAGGACCTAGGTCGTGGTCCATTCTGTACTTCTCAGACCCAGAATCACAAGACCCTGCTCAGAATGTACTTTAGACATCGGCTTCTATGCCCATGTCAACACATCTGAGCCTCTTGCCTTGGCCAGACCCAAGGCCACGGAAACAGAGCCATAAGACATGACATTTAGCCGAAACCGGTTTGGCTCAGTGGATAGAGCGTCAGCCTGCGGACTGAAAGGTCCCGGGTTCGATTCCTGTCAAGGGCATGTATCTGGGCTGCGGGCACATCTCCAGTGGGAGATGTGCAGGAGGCATCTGAATGTACTTTAGACATCGGCTTCTATGCCCATGTCAACACATCTGAGCCTCTTGCCTCAGCCAGACCCAAGGCCACGGAAACAGAGCCATAAGACATGACATTTATTGGCTCCAACCAGTTTATGCTTAACCACCTGGCCAGCAGGTACCAGCCTATTTTGCCTCTGAGGACCTCAGGACTCATAACCAGTAACTAGAAAAGCTGGGATTCTGCAGTGAAGGCAACCTTCACCCAGAGAGAAGGAGTTCCGTCTCAGATGATGTTGGAGCCAGCTAAGGGCCAGCCCACTCTGAGAGGCTTCACAGCTTTCGCCCCCAGCTTTTGTCTTGGCCTCATTGGAGACAGGACATTATAGTTGTCCCTGGGAAGATGAACCTTCCCCCCAGGAAGGACATGGGGCTGAAAGCCAGGGAAATAGACTTGCCTTCACAAACCAGCCTGGCCTCTCCACTATATGGACAGGCAGACTCACACTAGAGGCGCTATAGTACTTAAGATTGTGCTATTTGAACCCATGGTGCTGTTTTACAGTCTGTCCCTCCCCCCCACAACCACTCCAATTCACCCCCATCTGTAGTCACTGCTCTACACCCCAAAGGTTACTTGCTTCTGTGGACGAAAGGGGCCACATGCTAACCTGACCAGCTCAGGGAAGGCCTGCATGGCGGTCTTGCAAACTCAGAGACCTAAAGTAACCACAAAGGATGGTCTGAACTTAAACTTTAACTAAAAGCAGTTATGGTGGGTAGTTACATCCTAGGCCGGTATCTTCCCTGACAAGGTCAACCTTTACCTTAACTGAGCTTGCCTTTTTGCATCTAATAGTAATATATCCTTGAAATGTCTGGGTAACTTGTAACTTCCCTTTTTCCAAACCCCTTGGGGCTCAACCTAATGTGCCTGGGCACCAGGACAGATAACACAAAAATGAAGGAATTTGTGTAATTGTTCCTGCACCCACCTAAGTATGTGTCTATCATTTTACTTTTTATCCAATCCCAGGGGTACCTCCCCGCCCTCCCCCACTTTGCTTTCTCCCGCCTCTCTAATCTATCACCAGTGAATTTCATGTAACCCACCTACATCCCTTCCTTTGATTGCAGTGTATAAAAATAGATGAGAAACCACCATTCTCTGGAGCATTATCCCAATCTGTTGAGATATTGCTTCCTGGCAATTGTCGAGTTTGGCTCAAATAAACTCACAAAGTTCTTTACAGGTTTGAATGTTTTGTTAACACTTCTTTTATTGGGGAGCATACACAGGTCACTTCCCAGAGTGGACAGCAGCCTGACGCCACTTGGCAAGACCCAGAACAATGTTGGCCAGAGTCAGGGATGCCACCACTGCTAGGACTAACCCCAGCATCAAAGAGGTGAGAGAAGAGGTCGACTCCTCCACGTCAGGGTCAGGGTTACCAGTCTTTCCCAAGAAGATCAGTGGCCCCACTGTGACATCTGCCTCTTCTGTCACTGAAAGACAAGACATCGAAGGGTCACCCTTGTCCCTCACCAGGAATCGGGTTAGGGGTTTTGCTCTGCCTCAGTGGGCTGAACTAGGTTTTGTTTTAATCAAGAAAGCTCAAGCCCTAGCCGGTTGGCTCAATGGATAGAGCATTGGCCTGTGGACTAAAGAGTTCCAGGTTTGATTCCGGTCGAGGGCACATGCCCGGGTTGCAGACTTGATCCCCAGTAGGGGGCATGCAGAAGGCAGCTGATCAATGATTCTCATCATTGATGTCTCTCTCTCTCCCTCTCCCTTCCGCTCTAATAAAAATATATTTTGTTAAAAAAAGAAAGCTCAAAATTGCACCCCTAGGAGTAAACATCTTTAAATGGGGGATGAAGGAGAAGAACGTCACCCTAAAGTGACAGCAGGTACCCTAGACCAAGGGGAGAGCAATAGCCCTATGGCCACCTTAAGACCTACCGTGCCTGCGCCTGCGGGAAGCAGACTCTTGCCCCTGTCCCACCAGTCTCCTGGAACGACTTGGAATGCCACAGCTGCCCTTGTTACAGCAGTGACAGATATCAGCAGTGCCTTCTACTGGGGACCAGCTGAGAGGGAAAGACGAGAGGATTAGATGACTGGGTTGCCTGCAAGAAGCAGTTTGCTGATAATATTCATGTTGGGGAACAGACACAAGGGTGGTCAACCAGGTTTTCTACCCCAGCCATGCCCAATCTCATCTCTTCACCTGTTGGAGGACTTGCTGAAGGAACAGGCTTTGTTTAGTTGGTCTGGGACTTGGTCAGCTGAAGTGACCTTCAGGTGGCAGGTGATATATATCTGGAAGTAAAAGCAGTTATTACTAGGGGAGCTCTAAGCTGTATCAGTGACTTTAATAAGTCGTTTCTTATATAACCCTTAACCCTTGGGGGGAGGGTCGAAGAGCTTTATTTTAGAGATGGGGCAACAGAAGGTCAGAGATGAACTTGTCTAAAACTTCAGAGCAAGTAGCAAATTGGACTCTAAACTGGAACCCATCATCTTTACTTTCCCAGCCTCTCCCAAACTTGTCTAATCACCAAGCATGCCCAACCGAGGCCCATTAAGTCAGAATCTTGGGGCCAGGGCCAGGAATCAAGCCCAAAGGGGCCATTATCCCTCGACCACCTGGAGTAGGTAAAATTTTGACAAAGCCAGGGCTCAGGTCAGCTCTGGTCCTCTTGATAGGGACACCTCAGCCAGAGGTCCTATTTTATACTCTACGAGATACATCAACAGCCCCCTGCCAACCCTGCAAGGGCATGGAAATTCTATCACCTTCTCTCTGAAGCCTTCTTCAGAGTCACAAACCTTGGCCACCACCTAGTGGCCAAGTATACAGGCAGGGAAACCATTTCGGAAACAAACAAGGCAGGGGGCACTTCTATCTGCCCCACCACAGAAGGGTTCTGGGGCCTTGAGAGTCCCTATTCCAGGAGGGAACTGTTCTTATCCTCAGCTTCTTCTCAGTACGTTTTTCTGATGCTAACTGGGGCCTAAGGTCCTAGGGTGGTTCCCCATTAGCTCTTGAATAAGCTGTTCCTTCTCCCTGTGCCATGGCCACAGTCAGCCAGGCCACACAGCCCACCTTTAGGGAGAACCCTCCCAGAGCTCGGGCTACCTTCCACTGAGCAGATTGTCCTCTGGTCTCAGTTACCTCCCTCTCCCTGGGATGCAGATACCAGCGCAGGCGACCACCTGTATAAAACCTTAGGCCCGTCCTCCCCCCTGGACCACCCCTGAAGTCAACCTCAACTCCCTATCCCCAAAGGATCCTCTATGACCCACAAGGGGGGACCAGGACCCTGTCTCAAAGTCTGTTCTCCTTTATCCCCAGTTCCGTTCAACCCAGGACCTGTCATCAGAAGCTTCGGGACATCGCACTAACAGCTTTAATTCCTGCCCCTCCTGCCATCTACCAGTCTGTATCAAACTATTTGTTCTCAGAACAGAACTGCGGGCGAGGTGAGGGAGCAGCAGCATCTCTTCTACAAATTCACACTGCTTGCCCCTAATGCCTCCCAGCCTTTGAGCCTCTGGTTCAGTGGTTTGCAAACCTGGCTGCTTGTTAGAGTCACGGGGAGCTTAAGTGGCTTCTGATGCATTTAAGTAAAACAAGATAGACTAGTGGATGGATGATGCTATAGTAAAACATTAATGGTAGAACCTAGATGGTAGATACATAGGTGTTTGCTATAAAATTCTTTCAGCTTAATGTTTGAAGATTTTTATAAGATGTTGGAAAAGGCGATGGCAGGCCCCACCCCAATTAAGTGAAACTACATGGGAATATATGCAAGTATCATAATCACTTTCCAGGGGATTAGTATAGAGCTGGAGGTGAGAACCCCTGTTTTAATCACTTCTCCCTCCTGACCAGTATTCCAAACTTTACAACCCCTATTTCTAACTTGCTTAAAAGCTACTTGAGCCCGGCTGGCATGGCTCAGTAGTTGAGCATCAACCTATGAGCCAGAGGGTCATGGTTGGATTCCTGGTCAGGACACATGCCCGGGTTGCGGGCTCAATCCCCAGTAGGGAGCATGCAGGAGGAAGCCGATCAATGATTCTCTCTCATCATTAATGTTTCTCTCTCCCTCTCCCTTCTTCTCGAAAATCAAAATATTTTTTTTAAAATAAAAGCTACTTGATTTTTATTTGTAAAATTCTACCAGCACTGTCCGACTAGAGGGCAGTCCTTCTACCTGTGCTTCCGGCCCCATCTGTCCATACCTCAGTCATCAGGAGCAGTCTACACTTTCGCTCCCACTCCCTCCATCCCCTTAGTTTCAAGTGGGCTTTCTCACTCAGTGGTTCTGAAGAGGTGGCCCCCAGAGCCACAGCAACAGCCACTGGGGACTTGTCAGCAATGCAGATTCTAGGCTCCAATCCAGACCTACTGAGCCAGACCCTGGAGGCAGGGCCCAGCAATCTAGTTCAACAGGCCCTCCAGGCGATGCTGATGCATTTGGGTTTCACAAAGTCACTGGTCTAGCCCAGTGGTCGGCAAGTGAGACACCCGACTGCTCATTAGTTAGCAGAGCCAAATATCAACAGTTCAACGATTGAAATTTCTTTTGAGAGCCAAATTTTTTAAACTTAAACTATATAGGTAGGTACATTGTTATTAACTTAATTAGGGTACTCCTAAGGCTTAGGAAGAGCCACACTCAAGGGGCCAAAGAGCCGCATGTGGCTCGCAAGCCACAGTTTGCCGACCACGGGTCTAGCCTATGATCAAGTTTAAGATGCTTCGCTGTATGAAAAGTTCTCACCTGCTTTCCTTGCCCTTCTAGAAAGCCTCCAGGAAGCTGACACCTGCTTTTGTCAACTCCTTTACTCAACCCCTCCTCATCTGGGTTCTGGCCCTGCTGACCTTGGCAAGGACAAGATCAGTGACCTGGTCACCAAATACCATGGTTGTTGGTGCTCATCTTATTTGAACCGTCCCCTAAGTCTCCTGGGTTCCTCTTCTACTTTGTTCTATTTCTAGGACCCCCAATTCTGTCTCTATCCTTCATGGGGTTTCTACCTATCCAGGGGACTGCGTCACCCATGCCTTCTCCTTGAAGATCTCTCTAGAGCCCATGGCTTTATCTACTTGGCAAGTTGTGGAGTTACTAGGCTGGGGGCAGAGCTAAGACAACAAGTGAGCTAAAGCAGCAGAGTAGGCCTGATCGGCCTGACCCCTAAAGTTCTGGGTGTTAAAAAGAGGTATTACCATGTTTCTGGAGTCATTGGCAAAGTGGAACACATCCACGGTGAACTGGAGAGTCTCTGGCCCCGGTCTGGGTGCTCTGAAAGCGGATGAAGCATCGGAGAGGCCATCCACGAGACAACTGTGAAGAGAATGAGTGAAGAATGAGGTTAAAGGCCGGGGAAGGTGGCATAGGCCATGCTATGAGGTTTCCCCAGAAAGGCAGCCCAGCCCTCACCCATGGAAGTCCACAATGGTGTGATAAGGGGAGGCATTCCGGTTTGGCGTCGGTGTAGCCACACAGTGGTCCACGAACAGTCGCAGGGGCACATGGCTGCCCGTGTGAACTTCGGCCTGGAGGTGGGCTGTATCTCCCAGCTGGAAGGTGGGGGACCTCTTCTTCGAGCTCCAGTTCTCTGAGGGACACAGTCAGGAGTGAGAGCCTCTCCCTGGCAGAGCTCCCCCTGCCAGCTCCCCCTGCCAGCCCTCCTTGCTTACCCTCCATCAGGTACAGGGAGAAAACCAGCTTCTCCTCCGAAAACACTGTGGTCCTGAAGGGCACCCAGGTGGGCAGGATGGCATGGCTGCTCACATTGCCCTGCCTGGGGAGAGAACAGGAGCTACCTGTCGTGGGGCTTACCCCTATGGCTCCACATTAGAGGGGGTCTCACTGCTACCCCATTGCAAAGTCTTCAGCAGTGGCCCAGCCAGACAGCTAGTCCAGGCCGCTGAACATGAAGTCTGAGCCTGTCCCTTAACCTCCTGTACTCAACACGTGTGAGTGGTTCCTCCCAGCCACGAGGACATCCGAGCTGCAGCATGAAGACAGATATCTCAAGTTCCTTTGGTTTCTAGACCCACATCTGCTCCTTGTTAAGGTTCACCTGGGAGGCTCAGGTGTGGGGTCTGAGGCCAGAGCCCCGCTCTGTACCACACAGGATTCTTGAGGCCAGGCCTAGAGAAGAAGTCCTTCAGAGACAAATGCAGTTAGGCCTCTGGCTCTTGAGAAGCCAGTGAGAAATGCAGTTAGGCCTCTGGCTCTTGAGAAGCCAGTGAGATACTCCGAGTCTGAACTGAGACAGGAAGTCCCTGGAAGCAGTCAGGTGTCTCAAGACATCTGCCCTGCTGACCCAGGGGGCTCTCATGGAAAAGCCTACTTCGAGAACCAGCCCTCCGCTAACTGGAGCTGGGAGGAGGTATCTCAGCCTGAGACAAGCCTCCCCGCGGCCTGCAGACATCAGGCCAGGTGAGCCAACATGCTCAGTTCAGTCCCAAGCAGAGCTCTTTTGAGGTGAGGGATGGCCATGATCCCAGGAAGGCTTCAAGTCTCTCTGGCCAATAGGAGGGCAGGCACAGAGCCCTGCCCTTGGCAATTCCATCTCCCCCACCCATCATCAGGCACCCAGCTCCTCCAGCTCTCCTTACCTCCCTCAAGTCAGCTGCCACAGGTCAGGGCTTACCTCCTCCCAGTCTCCAGCTGGTCCCACCAGCTCCCGCATGTCTCTCCCACCAGCTCCCGCATGTCTCTCCCACCAGCTACCTGAGGACCCTCCAGGTGGAAGAATCAGTTCGCACTCATTCTGCTTGGTGCTTGGGGAGGGGCACCTGCTAACTGAGCCTGGACACCTTCACTGCATCTCTCGGCCTTTAGAACCCATCTGTCCCCCTCCATTTATTAAGCCATAGGCACCAGGCCCCCGGGCTGTAGCCCCTACTAGTGACTCACTGCTCTCCCCTGGTGGGGGGGGCAGGGGGCCTTTGCCTAGACTGTCTCAGCCTCACCTCTCCCAAGGCCCCATCCAGGATCTTGTTCTTGGAACTCCTGCCTTGACCCCTCTCCCAGCGCATGCTCATCCCTGTACCCTCATGGTATCAGCACCATCCTCCCCTACCTTCCCCAGCGGGGAGGACCGGAATTAAGGCCTACACACTCTGCACTCAGCCCAGCCCAGGACCCTGTGGTGTGTTATAAGCCACAGCCACCCTCTCCTCACACCTCAGTGCAGAGTTCACGGGCACTGCTTACTGCTCAGGGCTTGAGGGGCTTCCCCCACCCACACACGTGTACTGGGTTAAACCACAGGGAAACAGCAGATGTGGGTCAGAGCTTGGAACCTCTCCCTACACCAGTGGTTCTCAACCTTGGCTGCACATTAGAATCACCTGGGAATCTTCTTAAAATCCTGATTTCTGGGCCTCATCCTCTGGAAATTCTGTTTCTTTGTTAGGGGGTGGGGCCACAACATTAGTAACAAAGAAACAGAATTTCCGGAGGATGAGGCCCAGAAATCAGGATTTTAAAAAGATTCCCAGGTGATTCTAATGTGCAGCCAAGGTTGAGAACCACTGCCCTACGCTATTGAAAAAGTGTTCTGAACTCCAAGGGGGGCCTGGACAGCTTTCACCAAGAGGCAGCTGTGGCCCAGAGCATTTCAGAGGCTCAGGAGGCCCCTGACTCCACCCAGGGCTGAGGGCAGTGACCACAGCCCAAGCACTGCCACCTTCTCGCAGCCATGCTGCCCGATGCTGCTGGGAGGCTGACAGGATTGCCAAGGGGCCTTGGCACCAGGGCAGCGACAGCTCCTCCCACACTGACCTGGGGAAGCGGCATTCTATGGGCACCTCCACGCGGTTCGTCCTCACGATGGACAGGTTTCCAACGGGGCGGGGGTTGTGGAGCAGGAAGGTGCTATACACCAAGGCATCCTCCGTCACCTGAAGGAAAGGGGAGGGTCAGCCCCACCGGCTTCACCTGTGAGAGGTGGGCCCAGCCTCTGCAAGGGAGCAGGGAGGGGAGCCCAAAGGAGGCCGAGAGAACACAGGCCCGGACCCAAAGCCTGCTCTGCTGCGACCCATGGGAGAGCCTGGACAGGTGCTACCCTCACACCTCAGTTTTTTTGTTCTTGAAATGTTGAGGGCTCTGCAGGGGTCTGGTTCAACTCCCAGAGCTAGAGGTGTTGGGCATGTTCCTCTGCTCAGGCTGCCACCCCCACCCCAATACACACCCAGTTTCCTCTTTCAGGGGAGGCCTGCAGCCAAGAAAGCCACCAGGATGAAGCCAGAAAGTTCCAAGTTACAGTGGGGCCTTGACTTATGAGTTTAATTCGTTCCCAGACCGAGCTCGTTAAGGAGCTCGTTAACTCAAATTACTCTATCAACTCAATGCAAAAAATCCGCCGAGAGACAGCTGGTATCTCAAAAAACTCGTTAGTCGGACACTCATAAGTCAAGGCCCCACTGTACTTTGATTTCTAGGCCCACATCTGCTCCTCGTTAAGTTCCCCTTGGAGGCTCAGTCAGCACTTATGGTGCCCTCCCTCTTCTGACTTATTCTCTCGCCCATTTCACAGAAAGCCAAATTGGTTCCACTGGTTGCCTAAGGCAGGCAGAGTACAGGCAGGTGCCACTGGAGCAATTTGCAGCTTCTAATCAGCTTTTCAGGAGATCACCTGGGGCCCAAGTGGTTGCCTGGCCCGCCCAACCCCTCAATCTTCAGGGGAGAGTCCCAGCTTTCCATTAAAGAGTGCCCAGTCAGAGTTGGTCCGACGGCTGTGGGTTATTGTTAAGCTGATTAAAGAGTGCCCAGGCAGACCAGCTGCATAATGTGTGGGGCCCACTGCAAAATGAAAATGTTCAAAAGTTAAGATTTTCGGGACAGCAGGGTATTAAACCACGTGTGGGCCTGTGGAACTGCACAGGAGTCATTCCCAAGCAGCCCTGCCCCAGGTGATCCTTATCAGGCAAGATGGGGAAACCAATCCTGGGAAACGCTGCACTTGGCAGGCTAGTGGAGTCATCTGGGATCTTAAAGATACTGATGTCTGGCTCCCACTTCTGTTCTGGTTTAGTGCAGGATATGGGAACCGGGAGTTCTAAAAGCCCCAGCTTAGTTTTAACAGCTGAATCTAATGCAAGGATTTGAGAGTGACTAAGCTAGAATAATTCCTTAAATACCTTCTGCACCTCTCGGGCTTCCCAGCCCTCCCCCCAGGAATACAGGGCCCAGCAGTCTTCAAGGCAAACCCTGGGAACCACACCTAAAGCTCGAGCTCCAGGGGGATGCCTCCAGGGGCTGGGCTTGTCCCGCCCCAGCCAACTACTAAGATTTAAGTCCAGAGCTGGGTGGGCAGAAGTGGGAGCCCCATGGTGGAGGGGAGGACAGGTTCTCCATGAAGCAGAATGAAGTTGGTCCGGGGATTGTGGACCAGCTGGGGATCTGTGCCCCGCCAGCCCTGCCCTGCTGGAAGGCCCCTCCTAGTCTGAGGACAGCAGTTTCGTGATAGCATTGATGAGATGCCCTATTGAGTTCAATTAGCCTGTGGTCAACTTGGTTTCATTATAGACCATTTTGCTGAAAGGCACAGAACGTATTCATGACATTGAGGACTTACTAACCCCCCACTTTAGCGGAGAGGTCTGGCCTGGACAACTCATTTCTCCTCCTGAACATGGCTCCCCCATTAAGTCCTCACTCCCCAGTCTGACCTAAAATGCACCGCCCTCTGGACTCCACCCCACCTACCTAATTTGGCCAACTAAAGGCAGGAGCCACCGACTCTCTCCCCCCCTCCCCCCCCCAGCCCAGCTTTAGGCCTCCAGCTGCTCCTCCTCCTCCCACCCCACAAGTGAAAGGGAGCTGCCCTCATCCCAGCTACACTGTCCCTGAATCCACACTCCCTATTGCGGGCCACCTCTCCCATGTCCTCCCACCCATGCCAGGCCCAAGCCTCACCTGCAGGCTGTTGCCACACTCATGTAGCCCAACCGCAAACCTGACCACATCATCGGTGTCCACAGAGACCAGGGGCTCACAGTCTCGGGGCCCAGGGTGAGGTCTGCAGGCCTGATGAGCTTTCCAGTGCCAAAAAGGTCTTTGCTGACAGTGACCACGAGCTGGGCCTCCAGACACTTCATCACAACGCGGGGGGTCCCTCTCTGCCATATGGACTGGGAGTAGCAGAGCTCCGTGCCGCCCCAGAGCAGAAAGCAGATGAAGAGCCCATAGCTCAGCGCCATGACACCTACAAACACTCCCTCTAGTAACTGCTGTGCAGCCGCCCCTGCCCTCTTATACCTGGATGATGGCCACTCACACCTGGGCTCCCACCTGCCCCCCTTCCTCAGCCAATCCAGTCGGCCAGGCCCTTGTGCTCAAATTGGCACCCGGTGCAGCAGCATGGGCATCACCTGGAGCTTGTCAGCAATGCGGGCTCTCAGCCCCGCCCCAAACTACAGGGTCAGAATCTGGCTTCACACTCCCTCCCCAGTTGATTTGTATTCATGTTAAAGTTTGAGAAGTGTGGGCTGGCAGCCTGGCCAAGCATAATTTCTCCTCCCTTTCTACTCCCACCCCACGTGCTGACCTCTCCTCATAGCCCACTGAGGGAGCTAAGAGCTGTCCCAGGTCGATGGGGGAGGCCAAGAGAAAGGTCTTGATTGAAGGGTGGGTGGAATTTTATTGGAGAAGGCAGGTAGCTTATTCCAAGTCAGAGCGGGAAGAGGCATCATTAGGAGCTGGCAAATTTTGACCTGCTGCCCAACATTATGGAAGGTAGGAGGGGAGGTCAGTTGAGGCAGAGGCAGCTGTGTGAGTAGAGGTGTAGAAAGGACACTGTATGGGCTGGGGAGGGGCAATTTCAGCTCAGAGTTGCTGGAGCTTCAGATTGGGGGGGGCGGGGAGGCGTGCAGAGGAGCAAGAGTGGCAGTTTAGAGGGCTGGGGAGGACCATGAAGGTGCTGGCTGAGAGGTTGGATTTTACTCTGCAGTAGAGAAGCACCGCAGAGGGGCTGAATCAGGTGCGTAATCTGCTAGCTCTGCCTGGAAGCCGTTGACTGGAGGCAAGGGTCAGAGGCTCCTGCGCCAGTCCTGGTGGGAGAGGGTAGAGCAGGATGGACAGGGTCAGCATTTACAATGGCCTACTCTGCTAGGCCTTCTGGAGGGGAGGAGAAATACAAAAATTAATGGCACTTAATTCCTAGGGGTAGAAGTATGTACTCGCTTGTAAATGCATGCCTCTAAAGTAATTGAACCACACACACACACAAAAAGAAAAGAAAGAAATAAAATAAAGTAATTGAGCCATAAGTTTAAGTTGCTGAAATACCCCATTGGGGTGTGTGTGTGTGTATGTGTGTGTGTGTTTAATATTCTAGTTTACTTGTGGGAAAATAAATAAACGGAGGGAAGAGATTACCCTGACAACTTTCTCTGAGCTGATCAACATGGGGGTGGGGGGCAGATACAGTCAACAGAGAGAAGCAGGTAGGAACTCAGAGCTCAGGCTCCAAGCTCACCTTGTGGCCTACCCCCGTGGAAGCCCCCTCTCTGGGTTTCCTGCCTTCCAGGCCCAGAGGGAGGGAGCCAGCTGTGGCCTGAGGCCCCGACGGGACAACTAGCTGAGAGACCGTACCCTACGAGTGGGGCCTCACTGAGGAAGGAAGGGGCCTCCATACTTGTTACCCACAGCTGTGTTTTCGAGTTGTGCTCACAATAGGGTGGGCTAACCCCCTTAGAAGACTTCAGAACAAAAGATATGAAGAAATTGGTGAGGGTCAGATGAGGCATGTACTGGTGGGGGGAGTCTGATGAGGATAGGGGTGTCTTTTTTAAAAATATATTTTTATTGATTTCAGAGAGGAAGGGAGAGGGAGAGAGAGATAGAAACATCAATGATGAGATAGAATCATTGATGGCTGCTTCCTGCATGCCCCCCACTGGGGATTGAGCCTGCAACTGGGGCATGTGCCCTTGACAAGAATCGAACCCAGGACCCTTTTCAGTCCTCAGGCCGATGCTCTATCCACTGAGCCAAACCAGCTAGGGCAATAGGGGTGTCTTTATATGCATGGAGTGGTGGTTAGCAAGTGGTATGGGGCTGTGTTTCTCTTTTTTGTTTCTGTTTTTGAGAGAGAGAGAGAGAGAGAGAGAGAGAGAGAGAGAGAGAGAGAGAGAGAGATTCTCTTTTTTGGAAAGAGAACCTGCTCAGCCCAAGCCAGATTCTGGGTCTTTTGCATTTTTTTTTCGGGGAAGTGCTGCCCTCTGGTGGCCAGAATGCACCAAAGGCCCGGCCACCAGCCCAGAGCACAGCATTTTTCTTAACATTCCTCATTGCCCAGATGTTGGTTTCTAAGTACTATTCCTCTGTAAAAGCAGAACCCAGGGATCCTTGGAGAGTTGGCTGATTCAAGGGTAAGGCCAAAAAATACAAGGAGACTCTGGAACATATTGTTAAGCCAAAAAAAAAAATGCTCACAAAATGACAAGGATGTGTCAAAAGAACACAAGAGGCAAACTGAAATGGTGGTGGTGACTGGGGGGTGGGGGGTGGGAGTGGGGCAGAGGGAGGTAATCCCACTGGCCCAACTGGGACAACTGTGCATCAAATGAATAGGACAATAAAAACTGCACACTGAATAAGAATCCATGGGCATCCGTGCTGATGATAAAAACACATAGGTGGGAAAACTTTTTCTGTAAAATTGAAATTTCCTTACACTAGAATGCCAGCTAATAACCATTTGCAATCATCATAGTAATAGATTCGGGCAAGAATTATCCGTGCATGTTAAAAAATTAGTTGATGGCATGATGGAGATGTTAGCTAAATCTACGGTGATGATATTTAGCAATATAAGTATCAAATCAATGTGCTGTACACCTTAAACTTCTACAATGTTATATATCACTTATATCTTGGTAAAGCTGGAGGAAAAGTTCTGAAGATGCATAGTAGTGATGGTTGCACAACAATGTGAATGTACTAAATTGTGCACTTAAAATTGGTTAAAATGATAACTTTTATGGTATGTATGTTTTATCACAATAAACCTAGTTGATGGAAGTTTGAATGCATAGTTTCAAAGTTTCTCTCTAAAGATTCTTTATTAACTACAAAGGATTAAGTGGTGTTTTGGTTTTTTTGACAGACAACTGTTTAGTTTTTATTTCATAATCATAAACTTAACTCTGCAATCTAGTCAGACTGGGAAGGGGTAAGGAAATTATGGAACCCAATAAACTGGCAAGAGCACAAAGATTATAGAACATTCCAAGCAAATCGGGGTGAAGGGGTGCTCCCCTGAGCTACAGAAGGAATGGTCTGGTGGTTAAGATAAAACACAAGTCAAATTTGTTAGAGTTGCCCACAGTCAGCACGTCTTGCTGGTCTTGCCGTTCCTGGACCCAAAGCGCCATGGCTGTCACAATATCCAGGCCTCTGTCACCTGGCGAAGACCACATGCTTGCCATCCGACCACTCAGTCTTGGCAGCGCAGATGAAACACTGGGAGCCGTTTGTGTTCGGTCCAGCATTGGCCATGGACAAGATGCCAGGACCTGTATGTTTCAGGACGAAGTTCCCATCCTCAAATTTCTCCCCATAGATGGACTTGCCGCCTGTGCCATTATGGCGTGTGAAGTCACCACCATGGCACATAAATCCCAGAATAATTCTGTGAAAGCAGGAACCTTTATAACCAAATCCTTTCTACCCAGTGCTCAGAGCACGGAAGTTTTCTGCTGTCTTTGGAACTTTGTCTGCAAACAGCTCGAAGGAGACGTGGCCCAAGGGCTCGCCGTTGACGGCGATGTCGAAAAACACGGTGGGGTTCACCATGGCTGGTCATGGGTGGCTTCGGGGCGGCGGCGTCTGCAAAGCTAAGTGGTTTCTTTATAGTGGATACATCTGGCAGACACCACTTTAGCCATATTGTCAAAGTTAACTAACCATTAGTGGGAAAATGGGATGAACTGACCTCAGGTGCCTCCTGATGTGAGGGGATGATGCCGAGTGTTTAGAAAAAAAGCATATATGGATATATGTATGGCTATATATATATGGATATATGTATGTGTGTATATGTGTAGACACATATTTACATAAGTGTAAAGCGATACAAGAGAGAGCATATGTAGCAAATGGTCACATTTGCTGAATCTGGGTAAAGGGTAAACAGAATTTCAAACCCTCTCTCGCCCTGGCAGAGGAGCTCAGTTGGTTAGAGTGTCATCTCGATAAGCCAATGTTGCAGGTTTGATCCCTGGTCAGGGCACATACAAGAATCAGCCACTGGATGAGTGGACCAACAATCAATCAATCTCTCTCTCTCTCAATTAAAAATATTTTAAAAATAAAAAAGTTAAAAATAAACCCTCTCTAAGTCAGATTCAAGTGAAAGAGAAGACAATGGGATCCAATTTCAGAAAAAGGCTATTAACAAGTTTTCAAAAGCAACTGCTGAAACAAAATATGAGGTTACTAGGCATAAAACAAACCAACAAAAGAGCTGTAAGATCTTTGAAGAAAATTTTATGAAACTTTATTGAAAATCATCAAAAAATACCTAAATGCAAAGAGAGATAGTCCATATTCATGGATGGGACTGACTGGTGTTTAGACCCCTGCTCACCTGCTAGTCAGGGGTGTGGTGCTGAAGTTTCAGGACCATCGCATTTTTTTTAACAGAACTGTGAGGATGGAGAATGATGGGGACTGCTAATTTGGAGAGGGTGGTCAGGAAAGGACATTCTGAGGGAGTGACATTTGAATGAGGTGAGGGAGTGAGTTGTGCAAATACCTGGGGAAAGACAGCTCCAGGCCAAGGGAATTGCAAGTACAAAGGCCCTGAGGTAGAAGCAGGCTTGTATGTCCAGGAAAATCGAGGAGGCCAGGGTGGCTGAGCAGAATGAATGAGAGGGAGAAGAGGGAGATGAACTCAGGCAGCCAGGGACCAATTCATGAAAGACCTTGTAGGCCTTTAGATCTCATTCTAATGAGAAACCACTCAAGGATGAGAGCGGGAGAGTAACAGGCTAGAGTGCTGTTGACTATCTTTTCATGTGTTCATTTGCCAATTGGATATACCCTTTGGTAAAATGTCTCTTTACGGCTTACCCATTGTCTAACTAGAGTGTTTGGTTTTTTGATGTTGAATTTGAGGGTTCTTTATATATTCTAGATAGGAATATATAAATTCTCTTTATCTGAAATGTCCAGAATAAGCAAATCCATAAAGACA